CACATGTGGGGTGCTGATATGATCTCATGTTAATGATGACCAATGACACTATTGATAGATTGACACAAAAAGCCATTCTATTTGTAAAAATATAAGATAACATTACATAATTAAATTCAACTTTGAAACTAACACCAAAACCAAAGCAAGAATACGCTTGATATAGTATAACTATAAATAACTTTGGTTGGAACTAATCGAATGATTTAACTTCATTTTAAGGGTTGGTAATTTTAAAGATTTTTATTTGATTGGGCAATTCCCATATTTATTTTCTATTTTTTATTTGTACCTAAGTTGATATATAGTAGGAATTGATTTTTAATATATATATATATTGAAGTATAAGACTAATAGCATAATAAGTACTTTTTTGTATTTTTGATGATAAATAAAACACATGTCCTCCTTTTATATTGACCTCTTTGTCTTTCTTGTTCTTAGTCCGGTTTATAAATTTGATTTGACAATTGTATTATTTTTTTTTTAATTTTACCGTATCTTTAATGGGATGTATTTTCTAGAAACATGTCCTCCCTTCTATTTTTGTCTTCTTCTCTATAATAAGATTTTATAAAATTAGAGCAGGGTTGAATTGGATAAATAAATAATTAAATATTATTTTTATTCATCCGTTTAATTAATTTTAATGTCAATCAAGAAGACATTGATGTATTGAGATTTGTTTATTTGCAGGAACGCATCGATATATTATCAAGTGTGAAGCGTCACATTGAATACCAGAATCTATCGACCCTTAGGTGTCGGTGATCCCGTACTCTCGTTATATGGCTTTGGCAGCCCCGTCAAAACATAGACAATTTGGAGCTAGAGGTGTCAATTGGACCAAATTTGGTCCAATACGATCAGATTAATGTTTGAACCGTCTAATACGATCAAATTAGTTTTAATTTAGACTTGTTATAATTCAAACCTGGGGCATTGACACTTATATCCAATGTTCAAAATATTGATACACTTGATACATCGGTATGGGCATATTGGGCATTTCAATACTTGTTTTTTTATTTTTAATTTTTCAAAACTGGTTCAGGGGAGTCGGTCTAGGACCCCTCCATCCCCTGAACTGGTCAGACCCCCAATACATCCACTGTAGGGGCGTATTAGAAGGGTCCCGGAATGATACATATCAGCCGATACATAACGATACTTTGAACCTTGCTTATATCCTTTATCTTCTATCAATAGATTGTATATTGATTTAATCTTGACCCAATCCAATACAAATTCATTATGGATGATGGATCAAGTCCAATTCAATCCATTAAATACTTTGGACCATTAAGTCTGGCCTGGTCCAATTCTATGTCTTACTAGTCCATCCAAATTGAGTTTGATTTGGTAGGAGTCCAACCAAAAACCGGTTCATTGACACCACTATTGGAGGGTAGTGGAAAAGGTTCCCAAATCTTGGTGACCCACTTTCCCCCAAATTTTCTACCTAACGCCTTACAAGTGAAGGCATAAGCCTGGGCCAACATGGCCTCGGGTTAGGCTGGGCTTGGTTCTATCCCTTTGTGTTTTATATAGTATAAAGAAATTTAGAGTTCAGTCCACCTCGGAGACTTGTTATTTTTTTTTGGTTTTATTTATCAACACCTCCACCTATGTTTCACTACCCCCTTGAATACAAATTGTACTAAAGTTTATGGGGGTGGACAACAATAAAAACCCCTATAATATATATTTAGTGTTAGTTAATTGGTTTTAATTTCTTTTCTGGTTGTGTGTGTTCACCACTTGCATCCCTTGCTAAAACCTGAGAGAGAGAGACACCACTCAGGTTGGACTTGGGTTGAGGCCTCGGGTAGCACAAGCCCAACAAGATCCCATTTGAACCCACCTAACATTTTATGATATACATATCTACATATTACAAAGCTAAACACGCTCAAGCCCAAGCCTAGCTTGAGATGTTGGGTTAAGCTTGGGTTAGGCCAGGGTTAGTAAAATCAGGCTTAACCTTTAGTTGGGCTAAGACTGAGAGTTTGAGACTTAGGGTTGGGCTTGGGTTGACCCTCAACCCAACCCCACCCACCCATATATGTTGCACCCCAAGAAGGAACATTATGACATTCCTAATTGTATTAGTTTTTATTTTTATAAAATTATTTTAACTTTTACTAATTTTTTATTTAATATTACTTTTTGTTAATTTTAAATGGATTAGGAGATATTTTAAATTTATAATAATTAAGTTTAAAACTAATAATTTTGTTAATTTTTAAATTTTATCAACAAATTTGTAGTATAATTTTGTTTTTTAAATGAACATCAAAATATAAGATTTATTATTTGAAACTTAAATGTTCTTACCTTTCGGTTAAACATGTATTAATTTGAATTAACTTTATGTTTAAGTAAAACTTGTATTAAGAAAAAAATTATTAAGATATTTTTTATTAATTCATATTATTTTTTATCTATAATTTTATTACATTACTAACTTAGTTAATTTATTGTGTCATTAATTAACTAGTTAACTAATTAACTAATTATCTTTATTATTTAATTAATATTTTAAGTATATAATCATTTTCTAAGTTAACTAAATCTGTTAAGTTAATTAATTAATAAAAATTAAATTCACTAAATAAAAGTAACTGATTAAATAACCATGTAGCGTACACAAAGTTAACTAATAACAAATTAATTTATTTATTTAAGATAATGAAGTTAATTAATTAAGGTAATGAGTTTAAGTCAATGAAATAAATTAAGTTAACATTTATTTATTTTTGAAGTTTACTAATTGAAGAATTATGCAATTAATGACTTAGTTATGTTGTCATTAATTAATTATGTAATTAACGACTTAATAAATGAAATTCACTTTGTTACACTTTTCTGTACTTTTGTTCAATATTACACTTGTGCATTTTCTTTGATTTTTATAATAACATTATAATTTTCATGGTGTATAGAAGAAGGTGGGCTTTTCTTTTGAATTTTGCATTGATCTCAAGTTGGGGTGTAATTGGCGTTCCATTACCAATCAATTCCCATACAATGTTTTGCATCAAGAGGTTCTATAAAGTATTTTAGGAGAAAACATGAGTCAATTAGAGAGAGTTATTTTAGAAAGATTTAAGAGAGGTTTTAGGGAGAGAGAGAATATTAAATAGAATGCAAGAGGGGGGGGGGGTTGGAGAAAGGAAAGACCATTTGACGTGGATAACATTGCTTTACATATACAGTAGAGATAGTATTTTAAAAAACACATGTTTTTACTTTTTCAAACAGTTCAACCAAACAACTTTTTTACTGGGTTTAACTTGGGAAAAGCATGAAAGCCCATTTGAGAAGCATTGCAAACGCGACCTTAATACCTTGGATGAGAGACAGCAAGAGCCTAAGGCTGATATTGGCACAATTGGGTGGAGCAGGTAATGCATATATCGTGGTCTGTAATCAGCTGTTAGCCTCTCTAAACTCCACGTTGTTGATCGAATCACTCAACCAAACCAATGTTTTTCCAACTTTTTCCATATTAGGCTGCGTTTGTTTTTGATATAAACACTTCTACACCGATGGAGTTGAGCAACGATGGTTCAGTGAGAGTGTAAAATGCGGGCCGTCCATCGTGCCCATTTACACTCCTGTTTGGTTACATCGACGTAAATGGTGGTTGCCTATGCTTGGTTAATACAGTCCTACGGCAGATTGCTCACCAATGAACTTGATCGGACTTTGGCATCATCGATGAATCGACCTCCATTGCATTCCACTTTCAGTGCTGTTGCCTTCCACGTTCTAGAGATCAGAGCTACGTCAAGGCCAAGACAGTGGGTGGTGCTCTTTTCCAATTTGTTGCAACAGTAAGCAATGGAGATTGATCAGAGAAGTAGAGAGGTAGAGAGAGAGAGTAGATCGGGGGAGAAGGGGATTGATTAGAGACGGAGAGAGAGAGAGAGAGAGAGAGAGAGAAGCAGAGAGAACCACCATTGCATGGTTGAGGATGATGCAGAGAATGATAGAGATATTGAAAAAAGAAGTGGAGAGAAAGAGAGAAAGAGAAGAAATGGCAAAGAACCACCACTGCCAGAAGTTGCAGCAATAAGTAGGAACAAGGGAGGGTAAAACCAGGGAAGAAGTCGAATAAAAGGAGAGAGATGGAGAGAAGTTTCATCAAGTTTTGAGAAGAAGATAGAGTTTTATATCGATTTTATCAATATAAACTTTCCACTGATTTTCAACGGAAATAATGACATTAATATACTTTTACACCAATTGACAAGGCATATTAACACCTACTAAACTCGTGCAAAATCAGGACCCGGGTGTAAAATTTACCCCAATTCTAATTTACACCTCAAACAAATGCATCTTAAAATCCCAACAAAACCAATTGTGTTCAAGTACGGATCTGCACCTCACAGGCTCCTCAAACCAACCTCACAACACCTCCCAGCCATACATCAGGAACATCTCCTGTAATTTGTATTGTTATTCACAGATATATTCCCAATACAAGGTGGAATAGGGCTGTGAGGTTGGTATGAGGTGCAGTCAGTGAGGAGCAAATCTTGATTCATTGTGTTCTTATATCCAAAATCCACGGTGGCATGGTCGTTTTGGAATGTCTCAGCACACCGTATACCTCCTCCCAGTGATCACCCGGTCAGTCATTCCCTTTAGTAGTAGAAATAAACTAGACATTCGACCTTCGGTCAATCAGTCTCCTTGTACAAGTCTTATTTCTGGTAATGTGCCTTTGGGCTACGTTTGGTTGTAATGCAAATAAATTTGCACTGATGCAAAACCATAACAGTGAAAATGCTTTGGGTGCAAATTCTGACCTATTTTTGTTTCAAATTTTAACTTATTTTGTTTGGTTGCAATACAAATGAATTAAATTAAGACATGAAGCAGAGGATTTGCATTTTTTACATTTGCACTCCCATGCATTTGTACTAGTGCAAATAAAATTGCACTGCAACCAAACACAGCCTTGGGTTCCAAAACAAGGATATTCGACCTTAAACAAGAGAAGGAAGACATTGTTTTCTCCGGTTTTTGTTCTCTATACAAATACAAAACAAGGTTTAGAAATACAAAATACATGCTTTTGCACTGCACATACTGAGCCTTGGCTGCATTCACGGATATAAAAAGAATTAAAAAAAAAAAGAGTAAAGAAAAGCGATAGTTCTTCATGGAATGGAACAGAATCATGTTGACAAACATGACAGAATTTATCTCCTTAATTTGCACAAACAAATAAATGACGGTGCACAACACATACAGACTGCAATCAGTGATTTAGATATTAGTCCTCTCAACGCTTTAAAAATCACCAAAGAGAATTGCAGAAACAAAACTTGAAAAAAAAATGTTTGCCCTATCCCTGTCAGAGTATGCCTGCCATCTGTATAACTTGTCACTTTGTGTAGAGAACATCCTCCCATGGATGACGGTACAGTGGCTGCTTCAATCTCTTCTGGTCAAATGTATGCCTGCAATTTTCCAATAAAAGAAAAAGATGAATAATTGAATATGACCATATCTTTCCTGCATCATAGATTTTCCCTATTAATCAAGTGACAACATAATAAGTATCCTCTTACACGTGGACAGCATAAGAAGAAATAATCTATGCCATATCACAGCTAGTTATCATCTCAAGCAAAACTTGTTTTTCTCCAGTAACAGGGAAACTTAAAGTTCAGTATAATATAACTCATATTAGTACTAGTGGGCATGCCATCCAATCTATGGTTGGACCAATCTCTCTCTCTCTCTCTCTCTCCTATCTCTCTATCTATCTATCTACACACACATATATATATAGATATATATTGTGACTTAAATCATATCACTTCCATTCTGAAACCTGATACTGGTGATTTAGAGCCAAAGAGTTAGTGGTATGCCAATGTCATGGGTTTGATCCAACAAAGCAACATGAAACCAATTGCAAATGAATTTTCTCATCCAACTTACCCAATCAGACCAATGGAGCGTGCCAGTACAAATAGACCATTCAGATACCCAATTTCAACGATCTCATCAATTTCTTGCTTGCTGAACATTCCACTACCAGCAAGGAGATCCAAGAAAAGAGAACCGATTGCACCATCTACATTGAGCACCAGATTGTTTGCCTTAGACAAGGTGTAGTTCTCAACTTGAACCGCATATTCCATGTACTTCACAGAAGGGAAATGCGTGCGAGCAAACTTTTGTAGTAGCTCTACTCTCTTATCTCTGTTGTCTCCTCTTTTGATCCTTTACCACAACAATGAAAAATCAAGGCTAAAATAAAAACCATGAGAACACGAAGTCCTTTCTAGTTACATTATCATTGACATTGCTGCATAAACCAATAAATGTGTAGGTAGTGTTACAATCATACTACTCTAAAAACCCTTTGATTGTACTCAATTTAAACAAAATGAGATCACCAGAGAAGCTTCATACCTGTGTCCAATTCCAGGTACACGAATGCCCTTCTTTTTCATGCCTTCAACAAACTCATAAGGTGAAAGACCCTGAAAAGAGAAATAATGATAACAACATCCTAGTATTTTCCACATTCTTCTCTTGGCAATGACAGTAACTTTTGATGAACTCTGGTAATGGCTATGTAAACTTACCCTGTCATAGGCATCTTTGAAGTATCTAGCAGCATCATCAATGGCTCCACCAAATCGGGGACCAATTGTAAGCAGACCTGTTCCAGAAATTCAATCATATCAGAATTTTATAACTAGATTTCCAGATCTTCTTTTCTTTGTTCAGGCATAGGAACCATCAGAGAATTGATAAATGCCATCGAGTGGTTAAAATATACCTGAGACAAGGCTTGAAACCAGATCCTTTCCGGCCCTTGCTGTAACCATGGTGTTGTGAGCACCAGACACACAGGGGCCATGGTCGGCACATAACATTATGCAAATCTGACCAAGATATTAATTTTAGTAACAAAAGTGCTTATTGATCAACAAAGAACTTTAACAGGGACATCAAGGCAAATTTTGGACCAGAATAATGAAAGCAAACAACTTTTAAGATGAGAATAAGGGTTCATGATAATCTCAAACTCTATGATAAACCTACCTCAATAAACTGTGTACAATAACCAGGAAGACTGCGTTTGAACCACAAAAGAGAGATGACATCCCCAATACCATAACCTTGTTCAACAATGGATGACATAGGGACACCAGCATAGCATGGCTCCTCACCTGAAAATAGGAGAAAAGAAGTTAATATAATTGTTTTCTTCTGTACACCATTAACACTCAAATACTAGAGTGAGAAATGGTAAGGTTCAAATTGAACCTCTGTCATCAGAGATAGTTGAGATGATGTGAGTTGGAGCCCGAACTTTCCCACTCTTAATTGCAGTGTTAAGATCCTCGGGGATCTGAGGAGGCTTAACTTCTTTCACTGGTGTGATCTTCCCCTCTTCAACCTAAAATAAAAATACTGATCAGACATGGAGTCCAAGGGGTAATTTATTTCAACCATAAAGGAAAAGACTAAATAACTGCAGTATAGTGACCCATACAAGTTTCTCAAATGTCTCTTTGATTGCAGACTCAAATGCTTCATATGAAGTGGGTACAACAGCACTTGCTTCCCTCAATGCTTGATTTTTTGCTTGTGCTGACTCCATCTCACCACCACTTTTAGCACCCTGATTCAGAAAGATGGTTAGAATTAGAGAAGTGATGATTTCAAATAGAATAGCTTAGGAGGGACCAAGACATTCAAATGGTAACTTACAGCATGACCAAATTGAACTTCTGACTTGAAAAGTCGTGCACAAGTTCCGCTAACCCATGCCACTATGGGTTTATTGACCTTCCCTTGTTTTAAGGCTTCAACTAGGGAGTACTCATCTCGCCCACCGAGTTCCCCAAGCACAACCATCATTTTGACCTAAGTCAGATGGGAGGATTAGGTTGAAGAAAGACAAATTATTAGCAAGTAAAATTCCTCAGGCTGGAAGAAATTAAAATTATGTTATTCACTTGCATTTGTAGTCTATTTTTTATAAGTTTAATTTGTGATTTGAGTTTCTAATTTATGATAATTTGACAAGGAGTATAACACTGAAGTTAGACTGTTAATTCTTAGCTTTTGTACTGCATCTTCAAATGCAGAAATTCTTTAGACTGGCATTTTGAGAATTGCATCTAGGATTTTTGCATTTTAAGAAACGCATAAATTCTTACCTTTTGTAGGGGCTGAGAAGAGGGAGAACACATGTTCAAGTCTGAGAGTGGCCACTTTGTGCAAAAAGCAAATGCCAAAGATTAGGTTAGTATCCAGTCCGCCCCTCTCAAGGCCCTAGATACCCCAGATAGCTGGGACCAAGATTGGGCAATGGCCTTCTTTTATCTAGGATTTTTGCATGGTTCACAAATTACATCGCTAGGTCTATTTTACAATTTTCAACTTCTAAGATTTGGCACTGGTCAAATGCACTTTGTATTGGTCAAAGTTAGGATTTTTGAACCATGGCATATGTTTAGACATAATATGGGAGTATCTTATTTTGCTCATTAAGGATTGCTTAGGGTAAATGCTAGCAACTTAAGAGAAAATTACACATTTTAACTCAAGCAAGATTTTTTTTTATTGGTAACTTGGGAAAGATTTGGACTTTGATGATTATGCAAATACCTATGATTAATGGATTAGAATTAAATAACAGAAAGCTCATGGAGAAAATATAAACTCTTTCGTCCATGCCTATGACCCACAATAATTAAAACAAGATGCATGTCATGCAACTTTTTGATAGCAACTACATGATCTGGTGAACAGTGGATTACCTGTGGGATGTTGTTAAACCGCAGGACATGATCAGAAAGAGTTGAGCCTGGGAAGACATCACCACCAATTGCAATGCCTGAAGAAGTTTCAAAGTTAATAAAAATCATAATCAAACAAATGAAATCCCCATATAGTTGGGATAAGGCATGAATGATGAATAAAAACAAATAAATGAAATTAAAACCATTAAAATTAATAAAAACAAGAATGGCCATATCATAAAGATACCTTCATATATTCCATCAGTTACACGTGCAATTGTGTTGTAAAGTTCATTAGACATGCCACCCTGAAGTTACAAAATACACTTTGAGATCTAAATAGTTTTCAGAACCACAAAGGAAAAATGTTAACTTATTCTCTATTACATAGCACAGCTAAGGTAACAAACTTAAGTAATACTAGAAAGGATGCCAAGTCCACACTTCAAGCATTTTAAGTAAAAGATAATGCATATTCCCAATGAAATCTTATTGCATTTCTTCCATGATTTCAAGAGAGGCATCTTCACGGAGATGGCTTTGGACCACATATTCCAGTAAAAGTTTACTTTTTCATTTAAACAGCATATATGAAAAAAAAAAATCTTAACAAAAATACCACCTCATCTGACGAGGCAGGCCTTAGAAAATGTGTGCATATTCTGTGAAGCCTCACCAAAATAATTTCCCCATATGCTTAACGTTGGGCTCTTTTGGACCCCAAATTATCTTGCCATGTGGAAGATTTCTGAATTGTATAGATTTCACTGAATAACCTGACTAATAAACCCACTCCCTTCTTTATATTTTCAGAAAATATTTTAGTTCCATCACATTTTTCGACTGTTTCATGCTGCAACCCACTATCAAAATTAAGTTTACTTAATTCAGCAAAACATTAGGCATTGAATCATGACTTTATGTTATATGCCACTGAATTACAAGCGACTAACAGAAACAAGACATGGAAAATTCATTATTATGTATTGTAAGTAATAAATTGTTTGCTGCAATGGTAAAATCTAGGGCTGACAAGTTTGAGAATACCAGTGTCAGTCTGAAAGCAATGACAGTGCAAAAAATGCCAAAGGTTAGGTCTGTATCCAGTCCACCCCTACCAAAACTCTGAATGGCTAAAACCACTATTGGGTAATAGCAACTCTGTTGTATGTATGTACATTATGAAAATAAACCATACAACTTTAAATTAAAGTATTGGCAGGCACTTATTAAGGTACTAGTAGTGAAATCATGAACATAAGGAGAGCTATTGTGGAATTTTCAAAATTGCAATTTCTTCATTTTTACTTTTGTGAAGTTTTTTCAAGCATTAAACTTTTGTTCTTGGTTTCTTTCTTTCTATCTAGATTATGTTTTTTTTATGCTTATCCATAAGTGGTCAAGGATTCAATTTACTCAGCATATTCACGCTAAATATGGATTGAGAGCTTGGTTTCAAAGTGCATAAACAAGTCAAAATCCAACAACTTTGAAAGAAATTTTGGGCTTCCAACAAAATAATCTACTTCTAATGCATGTCACGTGAAAAGTAGCAAACAAATCAGTTATATTATGTATGTAAAACATATTTAGGAAAATGGAAGGATGAAAAAACCTTTAATGAGAATAAGTGATATAAATGACCCAAACATGTACATTAATTAGAAAATTACAGCTTCAAAAACTAGCTTAGTCTGGTCAATTCATTAAGAAGCATTGTCAGTATGTTCACAATAGGATCTCACTTTGGCACATGGAAACAAAAGAAGAAGGTAAAATGCATAGAATCTATACATACCGATTTGGACACAAATCCAACAGACCCAGGCCTGTAAAGTTTGCATTGGATTATGTTGTCAATAGTTCCTGCAGTGTCACCAATCTTGAAAGCTCCAGCTTGAATGCCTCCAACAGTAGCAGGGCCAATAATAACCTACAAGAAGCAAAATTTATTGATTAAAAAAAAACATAAGAACTGAAAGAAAAAATGGATGAGGGGGAAATAAAGAAGAAAGATCAACCCAATAACATTATGCCAATTGCCTCCATTTGTGAATAAGCATTTGGTTTTTGGCCATTCTTTGTCAAAACCATTTGGAATTAGGATTCAATAAGATATTGCAAGTTTGCAACTGCAAAAGCAACTGACACCTAAAAGAAATCCCTAACACCAACCCAAAACGGTCTTTTTAAACTCAGTCACAGCTTGTGATCAACTACAGAACACCATGTCAACTTATTGTGTCTTTCATTGAAGCATCAAGCATTCAGTTATTCTATGTCAAAATATCAGAATTTGATTATGTGATGCAAAAGACATTTAAATGAATGTAAAAGTGATCTTTTAAACTCAGTCACAGCTTGTGACTAACTACAGAACGCCATGCCAACTTATTGTGTCATTCATTGAAGCATCCAGCATTCAGTATTCTATGTCAAAGTATTGGAATTTGATTATGCAATGCAAGAGACATTTAAATGAATCTAAAGTTTTCTACTATGATCTCTTTTTACCTTATTATTCAACCGTGCATATGCAATCAACTGCTTGGTATCTGATTCTGGAACACCTTCAGCTATGATGGCTACAACTCTAATGGTTGGCTGTTTCAAAGCAGCCATCGAAGAAGCAGCAGCACTGTAGAAACACTGAAGTGAAATGATGAAGCAGTAAAAGGTGAAGTTTTGCACTTCAGCATATCAGCATTCAGCATATGAAAAGCTCACCTTCGAAATGATGCAAAGTTGATAAAAACATCAGCAGTAGGATGTGCAGCACAGGCAGCTTCAGTGCTGCAGAAGAATCCAAAAGCAAATCAGGAAACTTTTAAGTTTAAAAATTCACAATAAAGAAGAAATCCAATACCACTGAGAAGAAGCCAAGATTCAAAAATCTGAAATGCTGATTACCTTTGTTTTGGTAAGAGATCTGTAAATGATAGGTGGACCATCTAGTAGCTTCCTATTTGACCTGATTAGGAAAATTTTTCCCCATAGATATAGGCCTATAAAGGAATTCTGGATAGACAAATATTCACTGCCCCAGTACACATCACCCCTGTACCCCAACCTGCATTGAAGTTTTTTCCTGAGTTACATGTGTCATCCAAGGTTTCATTATTTAATTTCAAAATGCCCCAAAAGAAGGATTGCTTTCACCAAATGGCAAGGTTTTAAGCTGGAAATTTCCCCATGAGTAAAGAGCAATGAGAGGAGCATGTGGGACCCTTTTTGGCTACCAACCATATTGCCACATGGAAGATTCCCAACTCCCTGACTAAATGACCCAACTAGCATGTAGCTAAACTACAACTTCACCAATGTTATTTTCTTATAGTCAAATGAAGATTTAACAATTTCTTCCTGTCTCCCTCACATATGCAAGTATGGTGGCTGGTGGGTTACTAGGCAGGTGATGAAAACAGGTTTTTGAACCCAGGTCATTATATCAACAGTAGCAAGTTTACCAACTTATGAATTCATTTTATTAGTTCTCCAACCAAATAACTTCTTTCCAAATCAGAGTGCTTGCCAGCCACAGTCCACAAGAACCAAAACAAGCTCTGGCAAGCCAAATTTTGTACTTCCTTTTACAGTCATACCCACATAAATTTCAGTTATTCAAGCCTGCTCATGAATGCAGTGGAACCAACCTATGCTCCAGAGTACCAAAACTCACACTTTTTGTCTGGAGGCATGCATATTATCCACCATAAAGTCTTATATCAAACTTGATGTGGATCACAAGCTTTTTAATCAGAATGCACCAAAGTGCATCTGTTGCGTTTGAACTACATGCAATAAAATATATTCTAACAATGATGTTGAATACTTAATTGAAATGTTTATACAGTATAGAAAGAAAAAACAAGGAGGAAAACAAGGGAGATAAGAACAAACGTTGAGTGGACTGGTATTGCAATCTCCTCTTGACCAAAAAAGAGTTTTTGAAATCCCTCAGAACCTGGGTTAATGATCCCAGCAATAGAAGGTGTCTCCCTCCCTGAACATATAAGAGACATTTGGATATTAATATTCAACAACCTTTCAAGAATAGATAATAATATTAGGTGCCTTTGTTGAGATGCAATGGCTACACCCTTTCCATGAAATTCCATGAACAAGAAAAGAAACTATACATACCACAAAGGAAGTCAAAATCAAGCATCCGTTGGATAGGTAATTGCTTGTAGTTGTAGAATAATGCTTGTGTAGTTCGGGAGAATAGTTGTCCCGTTGCCATGATGAAGAAAAGCACTCAAAGAGACCTGTAGAATAGAGGTGATCTTAGCTTTCAGTGCTGATATTAGCAGCCAAACTACAGAAAATAATTAAACCCAAATAATTACTTAAGGAAATTATTCCATTTCCTTTTCAATTAGTAGTAAAAAGACAACAACAACAACAACAACAATAATAATAATAATAATAATAATAATAAAAACATTTCTCTTGGATACGAGTGACAGTTGATCTTCTACTCTTTATGGTTCTCCCAGTAGCAAATAAAACCACGACTTTGAAGAAATAGTCAACTCTTTAAGCGAGTTTGTAGATAACATACCAAAGAAGAAAAAGGGAAAAAAGAATGAGATGACAAATCACGAGAAACCAGAAAGCTACAGAATATAGCCCCGGAACTATGAAAAAATGGACTCTTTTTGGCGACCTAAGTTCTCGTGTCGACCAAAAGGGGGACATTTTGACTAAACTGCAGTCTAATTTTCAAATATGGAATTTCAATTTTAAAAAGTACATTGATATATCCACAAATTCTTGTCAAATGTATTGGATCAACTACAGCAAAAGAAGCTCTGCAGAAATTCAAAGTTCGGAAAAAGAAAGTGTTTATTATATAATAAACAAATTCAAAAGCCTCATAGCCTGACAACCCTGAAAAGTTACCAAAGAAAGAATAATTAATAACACTGGTTGCTCTCAATCGATAGTACATAAATCTTTCGGTGGTTCAATGTTAGAAAAAGAACTCAAGAAGGATTTTACTGTCGCTTAATAGAAAACTGCGGAAGAAGGAAATCATTTACAACCGCGAAAGAACCACCTTGTACAATAGAGAGAATCACAATTATCTATGACAAGTGGATCTCAAACTCAGTACTAGACACTGTACCATTGAAACTTCCCTGTCGGACCAAAAACCAGATCTAGCACAGAACTCAAATCAAAACAACTGGAACCGAAACATTTCCACAAGACAAAGATAAAAAAATTCCAATACTAAATGGAGTTTTAACGTAAAAGAAAAACAAATACGCTCTCATTCTAACATGAATTCGAGTGTAGAGACAAGGTAGATCAGATCCCAGACTGAAATCCATCACAGAAATGCAAATTTCACGAATTCTTCGAGCGAGGCAATCTACCTGAATCGAAGAGGCTCGACCATGAAAGAGAGAAGCAGATAAGAGAGATTAAATTGGCAGGGGGGGGCCAAGCAAGGAAAATGCAGAAAACACGGAAGAAAGGTGGGTGCTTTATATAGATGGAAGATAGAAACAGCAGAATACAATCCAGCTACCCCCTCCCACACCACAGAGAGAATGGAGAGAGAGAGAGAGAGAGACAGCGGAAGGAAAGAAAGAGGGTGAAGAGCAGGTCACGTGGCGTATGTTAGTTAGTTCACAACTGTTCGATTTTATAACGAGAAAAGGCAGAGACAGAGGGGTGGGTGGTGGTAGTCTGGTTGGTACTTGGTAGGTACATCCAAAGGTGGGATTTGAATTCATTGAAAGCCAAATAAATAAAAGGAAAATGTACGATGCGGGATAGATATGGTATCGGAAGAATTTTGATTAATGAAAACCCAATCATGAATTTTAATAAATAACACCTCATTGACTACCATGATACCAGTTGATTGATCAATTTTTTAAATATCATATCTTTTTCATATCATATTCTAATCTATAAATAAAATAAAGTGGGATTAACGGATGAAAATTCCTAATTAATTGCGCTACATTTTCTAAAAAAAAAATTAATTGCGCTAAACCTGAGGAGGGTGTATTACAAAGCAGTCGTTTGGGGTTGGTGTGCAAATTAAGCTTAATTAGTTCTTCGAATGTGAGTTTGATAAGAAGTTTAGCTTGAAATTTCTTAAGTTTTATTGTATCATATATATTTATAAAATATATATAAATATATTCATTTTCGAGCTTTCAAACCGAATTTGAATTCATTGAATATTTAATCAAATCGAGTTCGAACCAAAAAATAAATTTCAAATAAAACTTGAGCCTAATAGTATTTTAGTCAAATCGAGTCAAGACATGCGAAAGTTCAGCTCGATTCGATTGCACCCTTAGTTTGGGGCCACCATAGACCTTTAATCTTCAGATTAATATCATCCGGTCAATCAAAATTGATTTTCTTTTATATACAGAGAAAATTTTCATTAACTACAAAATAAGATAATCATAAACAGAATTCAACGAGAAATATAAAAAAAAAAAATGCATTCATAGCTTCGCACCCGCCATCTTCTCCCAGGGAAATTTTATGTAGCAATGTATTTCAAAGCAAATTGGCCTTTGACATTTTCTTGAAATATGAACAGTAGGTTTGCTTTAGGATAGAACACTAGGGTTGGAGGGGTTTTGGGTTTAGGGGATGGTCTACTCTCGTTGTATAATTCTATGAAGAAAAAAAAAAAAACAGAATTTTGTGGGATACACATGAGTAAAATGGAATGATATTGATGTTGTTCGATCCGAGGTGTCTCGAACCAAGGTTGCAGTCAGATAGTCATGCCAACTAGTGAAGACAAAGTGGAAGAATAAAGTCGCATAACAAGATCTGAAACCAAGAAAGAGATCAGAGTCCCGAGGAGTGATTGCCCAGATAGGCACTCTGACGCTCCAGTCAGTAAGAAGAATCGATGGTCGGGTCGAGCAGTTGAGAGCAATGTTGGTCCGAGCAGAATAGTAGAAATAACTAATTGCAGATTTAGTCGAGTTTCTTGTGAAAGGAAAGAGGGGGAAGATGAAGATTTCAACAGTAGAGAAGAAAAGAAAAGAAGAAAAGAGTAGGAAGTCAAACAGGATTCAGAATTAACCCTAGCCACCTACCTCTCATTATATTTATACTTAACTTAAAAGATGAGATATTACAAGGATGCCCTTAATATAGCTGAACAGTCACAACTTAAAAAAAAAAAAAAAAAAAACATAAACTAATGGGCATAAAGCCCAACAACTTCCTAACTAAATAAAAAACAACTCGGACCAACTCAACAAGAATAACAGTATAGAGGTTGAAGAGTCCAAAGTCCTTTACCTTGAGTGGAGGTTACATATTTATAGTCAAACATTCGTGTTCAATTCGGATGAGGCTTTCGGGATTGTCGGGATGAGATTGTTTGCCGAGGTCTTCGGGATAAATTCTAATTCCTAGCGGAGTTGTCCTCCTTATTTATATGGGGATCTCCTTTCTTGGTCACGCTTATCCATCCTACATGGTGCCGATATGACCGAAGAGATAGACAGCCACGGAGGTGACACATGACACCCAAGGCCAGCTCAACCATAACCCAAACAGATAGAATTCAAATAGATAGGTAATAAAACAAGCCTCACAAATACATTAATATCATGAACTGTAAGATTGAAATTACCATGAATAAGGCATAGAATCATATTACCGAAAAATATATACAAACATAGAAGATATATATTTTGGTAGTTTATGTGAGGAAATGTATTAAAATTAACGTAGGACATATGGATATCATACAATAATTTCACCAATAATGCATGAACCAATATCTCAACTCTCAATCTGCCAAAAAATCGACATATGATACAATGATGATATGCTAGGTGATGAAGGGAAATTTGGCCTGACCTCGCAATCACCCAACACGTGGCAAAAGCAAACAACTCAGGGCAGCAGAGCGCCCAAAACGAGCACCGAAAGTAACGAAGTCCAAGCTCACTACTGAGCCCGAACTCCACCAGACCGGATTCTCTACTAGGAGCCCGAGCTCCCTACCAAGAACCCGAGCTCCCTGCAAGGAGCCCGAACTATCTCGGGTCCTAAGCCTCACAAA